CTCTCTGTTCCGCTCCAGAGTGAGCGTGCTTGGGGTAAACCTCGGCCTTCGCCACCCCTCCGGAAAGTAAAGTTTGCATAGTTTTGGGGCAGACTACTCCAACTGGTAATTTCTTCCTGTGCCAGGATTTAACCTGCAAAGTAAAAACGTGGGGGTAGCAATCTTAACGATACTTTTTTTTTTCTTGTTGCTTTGAATTAACAAGAGCTATTGGAAGTTCTTCAGATTTAAGGAGCATGTTGTTGATGTATTCAGGGACTTTCATGGCTCAGAAGAGTGGGTGTTCCTGGGGCATGGGAACGCTTCTTTCAAAGACTTGGTTTTTGTGTTTGGAAGTAGGTTCCCTTCTCTCCCCCATCAGAGGGTATAGATGGGTAAGGTGATCTGTAACAGGACACAGAGTTTGCACCCATCATGAGAGTGTTGGGTTTGTTTGTCCTTTTTTCCAAAATATGTGGTGGTAACAGCAGCAGGGGCAAGCTGCTGAATAAATTTGGAGGTTCTTGATAATTTTCTAATGAGTTGATAGCAGTAAAAGGGACATTGCAACTTCTTAATGCGGGGGTGTGTTTGGGGGGATTAAACCCATGAAGTCTGGTCTCTTAAGCTTGTGTGGCCCCCGCAAGGTAGGGTTGATGTACTTCAGTACAAAAATTTGTGTTCTTTCCTGGGATGTAGCGCATAAATATGTTGGGACTTGATTTCTGTTCATTAGCAGGATGTTTCTCAGGTGAAGAAAACAAAGTAGATGTGGTATTTAAAAAAAAAAAAAAAAGAAAAAAACAGATTCCTAAGAACTGGGGGGTTTGGGGGGGTTGTTTGTGCGTGGTTTTGGTGATTTGGGGGCAGTGGGGTTTTTTTCTTTTGTGTGGTTTTTTTTTTTTTAATTTTTACTATTTCAGGTTAACACAGATGTCTTGCATTTGTGAGGTATTTCAAAAGCTTACAAGAGATAAACTTAACATACAGGTATTTGGGCAAACTACTATTCCAAAGGAGAGAAGAAGAAAACACAAACAAACCATGCACAGAAATTATTGAAGAAGATAAAAGTAGCAGTGAGAATGTAATACCTTTGGGTTTAACACCTGCTTAGTATTTCACTCCTTCCTGCTACCCCATAATTTCTGGGACCAAATATATGCTGAGATGATCAATCTGTCCTACCTCAAGCTCCAGCAGAACCAAAGTTAAATTCTTTTACTGAAGAGCTCCTAGAGAGTGTATATTGGCAATTTGTTACGAGATTGATTTGCTTTTGAGGGGGTGTCTATCTAATGGGATCTTAATTTCTGAAGTGGGTTTTCAGTCGTCTTTGCCTCTAATCTCTCCCTGGTAGTAGTTTGTGGTGAGGTTTTAGGTGCTCGTCTGCCCTTGTCAGGGTTACAGAAGCCTGTGGTCTTCCATGTACACTGAAATTCTGGATGTAGCCTATCATTGCGTAACTAAGTCAAATGCCTCAAGATTTGAAAAGGTATTTATAGAACATAAGAAAAATCTTTATTTCATGAGGGCACAGTATAGTGCATAACCAGTTGCAGAAGTAAGCAGGATACAGAGCCTGAAAACTTGGGGGGGTTTTGCTGCAAAGTTACTTGATGGGTGATGTTCTGTAGGACCCGTGTTGGTACTGTGCCCTCTGAGAAGTTGGCATTTCCCTTGAGGTGCATGTAATTAATTGGCCATTAGCCACAGGACATATAATTCATGTGTTTGAAAGCACCCTGTAATATGTTTCTTGGCAGAAAAGGTAGCTGAGTTACTAAACTAGCTAAGAACACTTACGGTTTATAAGCACAAAAATTTTCTCCAGTTATTATGGGGAGGTTAGGATTACAGCGGACCAGGTACCGGCAGCACAAGTGAAACTCCACCGCGTATTCAGTAGTTCATTTACATCTGTTGCAAAGGTGTGGGCTCACAAAATATTTAAAATGACTCCCTGTGTAATTTGGTTAAGGGAGAGGGTTTTTTGTTCTGACGGTATCTTTTCAGTGTCTCCCCATCTCCTGCATATGAACGGACTAAAACCTGAAGCAGTATGTACAGCTCATGTTGACCAAATCCTGCAAATCTTCTGACCTAACCAAGATACAGATGCACGTGTTGGGAATACTGGAGGAATATTGGGCTGAATGTAGGATTTTTTTGTGCGCGTGTCTACTGAGTGTTAATGGTGCCTCTTAAAATGCTTTATCTGACATGAATTTAATTGCTAGTTTGAAGTTGAAACTGTGGATTATGTCCATCCGTGCAAAATTGACTTTGAAAAAACACTAGGAGGAGGGATTTGAAATACCAACTGTCTTAGGAGCTGCACAGAACTCTCAGTTTGGTGCTCTTAAAGACTTTTAGTTAAGGTATCTGCACTGCTGTGTGTAAACACTTCAATTGGAAGCGTGCTGTCCTCCAGTCTTTAAAGAGTAGAGCAGATGAACACGAGATGCATATACCTACGTGGAACAGGCCAGCGCTTGGGAAATATTTTTGGCGTGAACATCACACCAAAGGGCAGAACATGGATGTGTGAGATTTTTAAAACGAGGATCTTTGTGAGCTACAGTTCATATGGTTATAGTAGTAGGCTGCAATACCCTTACAAGTAATCTACATATTAATAGAATGTGAATTTTGCATGATTCTTAACCAGTGTTTAAATGTTTGTTTTAACAGAGTAGTAATATTCCTTTCATTAATTCCGTCAGTTTGTTCAGTGGAGGAATTCTACTCTCCTGGCTGTCATAAAGGCTTGTTAGCTCCCTGTGGAGCTGAGAACAAATTAGCCGGGCTTCTCCAACTGCCAAGTATCAGCTCTTATTTAAAATGGGTAGAAGTGCAGTAGGGAGGAGGACTAAAAACCTTCACTAGAGTTTGTTTTGACCATGTGGCTAATGAAACCCTGAGTTTAGATACAGTTTGATGATGAAAAATAAACTCGCTACTACTGTGCTGGGTGAATGGAGAATCCTGCCCTGAATTTGAAAGCACTGCTTTTGCAACCATCGGGTCTAGAGCTGTTCTTGCGTCATATGCAATAGTAACCTGTGCTCTACGTGTTTCTGGGCAGTCTCAGTTGCTACGCTTGGCTGTTACTGGGCGGTCAAGGTTGTTTTCTTTATACTGGAATTGAAAACCTGCCCTGTGAATGAGTGGGCCACTGGCTCTTCCTTAGCTCAGTTCTGTCTTCCTGTCTGTTCCTGCTGCTGTCTAGAAGTTGTATAGCGGCATCACTGCAAAACCAAGGCGATTTCATTAAGTTCTGTGCCCATGTTGCTTTTGTGTAGAATACTGGCTTTCAATGGGAATTTACAGTCTAAAGAATAACTTTTCTTATACCCCTGTTTGCCAGAAACAGGAGCAGTACAGGTGTTTGCCTACAGAAGAAAGCCATACCTTTTGTGGTGTAGCGAGATAGATAGGTGTTCATCTGTCGCAGCAGTAGGAAGGCTGAGCACTTTTCCCATTGCTAGTAGTGTCTCTGTTGTCAAGCTGCTGTCAAAGTGGTTTCTAAGATGTGGTTCAAATAGAAAACAAGGTGGGGATAGTATTTTATAGGTCAAGTCCAGTAACCGAGAGGTGGTTGACATGGGGAAACTTGATGTTGTTCCTGAGGTTAACTTCTGCAGGGTGTGCAGAAATGTGTGTCTTGGCTATAGTAGTGAAAATCAGAGGCCAAAATACTTCCTGAGAGAGCAGGGCTTATAAACAGATAATGCAATGTATTGTTTACACTAGAAGTAAAAGTTTATACTAAAACCAATTATTTTTGTTTTAGAGGGACTGTGAATATGTCTGGCATAGCTCTTAGCAGACTTGCACAGGAGAGGAAAGCCTGGAGAAAAGATCATCCATTTGTAAGTATGAGAACTGTCAAATTTCTGACTGCAGTTATTTTGGTGTTCTGATGACAACTTTTTTCCTTATTCGGATGTGTTTTTTTCAAATTAAATTAACTTTTAAAATAAGAAAGCTGTTTGAAATGATGTAGTGCAAAAAGAAATAACTGTATAAAGATAAAATATGTCATGAAGTATTCTAACTACGTCTTCTGAAATTCTCACCCTTTGGCTTTTTGCCTTAATTCAGGGATTTGTAGCAGTACCTACAAAAAATCCAGATGGCACAATGAATCTAATGAACTGGGAGTGTGCTATTCCAGGAAAGAAAGGGGTAAGACTTACTGTTGTCCTAACATCTCGCTTACAGTGAAAAGTAACATAAGTCTGCTCATGCGTTACACTGACAACTGAGAGTGTAACTTAGATGTAGTGTAATAGAAATGCCTGGATCCTGCAGCTACCTTAGAGTCCTGGTGGAGTGGGCTAAAAATGATCCTGGACAAAATACACCATGAGCCTGTTCAACTGTTGGCACTGAACACCTTGAGAATAACGGCTTTCAGAGGAGTGTGTAAGAATCCTGCATTGAGCAAACTTGAGGTTGTCTTCTCCTTCATGCCAGGGTTTATTGTGACTTCTGTTCTTACTAAATGCTGTTTTAAGCCCTAAGGCTTGAAAATTAATACTACCAAAATGTTGCCTCTGCTGGTTACCTGCCAGTACCTTTTTTGTCCACAAAATAGCAGCCCTAGAGCTGTAGCACTGGAGTCCTGTAGCACTGTTTGTAGCTTTTTAGATTTCAAGGAAAATAATTCTGCATTGTCAGTGTGGTATCACATTGCTTTCCATTTTGTGGAATTTTCTCTTTTTGTATTAGGGGGAGAAGAACAGAACTGTCTAAGGTTTTTTCTTATCTGATTTCACTTGTGCTTCTGTGTCCCTTTCCTTAAAATAACAAGGGAAAGGGAAAAGTCTGTAGAGGCCAGAATTGTTTATTTTTATCACCTTGATCTGGTTCTATGGGATAGGACAAACACAGACTTTCAAGTGGAAATAATCATTAATGCATGAAAGGTCTTTGATTTTGTACACTGCCATTATAACACCTCGTTCTGAGCAGAATCTTGTTTCTATTTTTCAAGATGTTACTTAGCATGTAGAGATTGCTCTTGAATTCATTGGATGCAGTTGTTTCTTCTGAGATAATACTATTAATTACTTGGTGGGTTTCATTGTCTTGGGTCTTTGGTGTATTGCATTGGTTGGGAGACTTCTGTTGCTTTGCCTGTTATACTGCCTCTTGCCAGCTTGCTTAAGTCCCCTTAAGATCTTGTTTCTTAGATTCTGAGAAGACAAAGTGTGTAGGCATAGCCTGCAGACTGAACATGGCATTGCTGTTATGGTTATAACTTAGCTCAATACTTTGGTAGTCATCCACATAGCTCAAACTGGTTCTTAAAGAAGCACCTAAAAATAATTTAACGGTGTTAGGAAAGCTGCATCCCCTTGTGTTCTGCCAAAACAAGATTATCCCTCATAATAGCCAGTTATGTACCTTATCAAGGTGTCACCTTTAAATACCTGGGTAAAATCTTCATGCCATACAAAATCTTTATGCTACTGCTTTTAGGTTTTGGAAACCACAAAATGGAGTGAACAAGGCCCTTGAGGCCAACTTTTTGCCTCCTAGAAATTGCATCACACCAGGAAAAGATCACTGCTCTTGCGATTCCTGGTAGAGTTTTATTTTAAAAAATCAAGCTTTTTACTCAAGTAAAAACGCCTTCTCTTTAACAAGGAGCAGCATGCCTTGCACATCTCTGCCAGACCAACCAGTTGCTCTCTGTTGCTGTTGTGTTTGGGGGCATGCTGTGCTGCAGCTGCTTCCCCTGAGATGGAGAAGTAGTTGAAACCACCAAAATGCTTTCTTGTCAGCCAGATCAAAAATTGAAGTGAGGTGATGTTAGTCCTGGGTTGCATCTCTCCATTCACTTTTCTTGACAGCAAATCACTTGTTAAGTACTTAGAATTTGACTCGGAAGAACACCTGCAACCTGTCCAGTAATGCAATATGATCTTGGTGATACTGCTGTCATTATCTTAGTAAGGTTTTGAGCGTCTGCTCTCTCTCATCTGTAAGGTATGTTGCTCTAAAGACAGTAAAAACTTTTTGTTGGCTGTTTCGGTGTTCTACTTGAAGAAATTTTGAAAAGCTATTTGTCTTCCCCTGTGACTGAAAGCAAACAAAATGGGAAGAGCTTATTCTATCAAAAGGCTCCTCTCTTCTAAAAATGGACAGGTTTGTCTCCTCTGAGAAGGTATGGGGAACAGATATTCCTAGTTGGTGATGACTGACTACAGCTGTTTAGAACATGTTCTTTAATTACATTTGCTATGGTGTATTTAAACTCATTCGCTTGTTAAAACGCTTAGTATTCCATAGCATATTTTTTTCCTATTCTAGGTTGAAACTTTGCACAATAAATACCAATGACAGTGGAGTGCTGTTTCTTTCTGGGTTTGGTTTGTTTTTTTTTTTTTGCGTTTTGGGGGGGGGTGTCTTTTTTTTTTTCCTTCCCCTTCTTTCTTTTTCATTCTGCTAAAAATCACATAATTCACATAAGAAAAAATTAAGGATTTCCTCCAAAGGTGGTCTTCAAATGTACCTGTCTGTCCCTGAGGATGTGATAATTTATGCTGATGAGATGTGAGACCTTCTTTACTCCAGTTTGTTTTAAAGAATGAACTGGATATTTGCTGTCATTGCCGTGTTTCCATAACAAGGGCAGGTTACAGAGGTGGGGTCTGAGTTTTACATATAGAATAAACTTTTCTGTATTTCTGCACTTCTCGCCAGAAATCAATTTGTCAGAAGATGGGCTTTTGTCCTTATTTCCAACTAAAATGACAAGGAAGTACATATTTGAGTCGGGCATTTTTCCCTTGCAACATCTACGCTATTCCTTGTTTTTATGACTCTTGAGTAGTGCTTATTTGGCCTGCTCTGTAGCATGGCAACTGCTCTTACCGGTGCCCTTCCCTTTCTGATAGGAAATAAAATCCCAGTTTCTGATGGGGATAAAAAGCTTCTTAGAATATGTGTTACACAAAAAGATTAATCTGAGGCTACTTGCTACCAAATACAGACAGGGTGGGTTTAGACTAGTGAAGCTTATATTAACTATAGCAATATTAGAGTGCTCCATATTTTTTGTTTATTTGTATTTTTCTTAGCCACTTTCTTGTGAGGCAAAACAGAAGCCATTTACATCCATGTGCTTCAGGAATGTATCTATATCCTATCTTCTCAGACTTACTTTAAGTGGGGGTGTAATGGCCCCTTCCTCATTGCATGTGTATCATGTAAAACTTTAAGTATTCTGTTGTTCTGTGTACCATGAAAATGTTACTCGTATATGGAATTACCGGGCATGATCCCAACTCTGTTGATGACTTGGCAATGCTTACTAGCTGTAACTCCTTGTATAGGTAGGATAACTTGTCTCAATCTAGATGGCATGCTACGGCATAGGACAGCTATTTTCTGCTGTAGCAGAAGAATGTCTTGTACTTTGCCTGAGAAACTGTATTCTTGATAAGCTTTTTTTCCACAAGTTTGACTTTTCTTGGCTATAATCTGTACTCTACCTTAACTCTTTATAGACACCATGGGAAGGAGGCTTATTTAAACTACGGATGCTTTTCAAGGATGACTACCCTTCTTCACCCCCAAAATGTAAGTAAAATGACGAAAAAAACCCAAGTTTATTAGTGTATTGGGTCAAGTTGCATAGTGCAAATTTCTGTTGGTATGTAGAAAGGTGTTGATAACACACCAGTGTTTTGACTACTGCTGAGCAGTGCTGGAACAGCATTAAGGCCGTGTCTCCAACATTCCCCAGTGGGCTGGAAGGGAGCAAGATCTTGGGAGGGGACGTAGCCAAGACACCTGACCCAAATAAACCAAAGGGATATTCTATACCATATGATGTCAGCTCAGATATAAAAACTAAGGGAAAAGGAAGAGGAGGGGGGCATTCGCCTTTTGTGATGTTTTGTCTTGCGGAGCAACAACTGAGTGTACTGAAGCCCTGCTTCCCAGGAGTGGCTGGGCATCGCCTGCTAACGGGAAGTAGAGAATAAAATCTTGTTTTCCTTTTGCTACCCCGTGCGGCCTTTGCTTTTGCTCTTTAATTAAAGTGCTCAATATAACAAAGCTGGGAGGGGAGAGGGGGATGGCTGTGTGGGTTTCCTCAAAGTCTGACAAAAGCCCCACTTGAAGCGTTTGCTACTTGATCAGCACTCTTTGAAAACTAATAGGCAGGCAAATCCCTTTGCGTGTTCTTACTGTTAAGTTGGTCTTCCAAGAACTCAGAGGCAAGAACTTAGGAAAAAATAATAAAGAAAAAGTTCCATCAGCTTTAATCTTTTCATCAACTTGATCTGAAACAGATCTGTTCTTCTTCTGCTGTGTACAACAGGTATCTTCAGATACCTAGTTCCCTTGTTAAGTTCTGGAATTTTCCTTGTCCCAGCTCAAGCTTGCCTCCTTTAGAAATCTGAAAACATCTACTGCCTTGCCTAGTTTTGGTTTTTGAATTGGCTGCCATCTCAAATCAATGACAGCGATTACAAATGGCTCTTCTGACAGCGGTTCATTTCTCATTTTAGTGTTTCAGCTCTATCGGTTGTGTCGGCTGCTTTTTTTGTTTGTTACCACCTAAACACATGTGACACAAGAGAAAACATTGTCTTTTTAACTAGAAAATATTTAATATTAATATCTTTGAGGATGTGCTAGTTGGTCTTTCTCAAGTGTTAAGTGAACTGTCATGCCTTGAAATAAGATGTGTATGTGACTGGTAAGACTCCTGATCAATGTAGCTTCAGAATTCCTACTGAACTTCATTGAGCAGCTCATAAGCAAGACTTACTTGTGATGTCAGAGGGATTAGAAAACTGCACTAACACGCAGATATTTCATATATTGCTAAACAAGTGTTCATTTCATTACTCTGTTGCATTTAAGTCCTGTAAAGATTAAAGAAATTCCAGAATATAGATGGAGTGGCAGGAGAGCTGCACAAGCCTACTCCTTCAGTCAGTCTTGCAACTTAAAACTGGTTCCTCTTGTTCAGTGCATCTTGATTATACATGAAGGAAGAGTGAAACTGAAAAAAATGCTAGAAACTAGTTGCCTTTGTATGGAACTTTCAGTATTTTAAAGTGAGGAGAGAAGAGCTGAGTGAAGGGCATTATCTTTCCTTTTTATAGTAGTATGTGAGGCTGTGACAGGATTGGTTTAAAAAGATCTTTACCACAAAGCTGCTACAAACTGTTCTGTCAGTTTCCATCCCTGAACCTAAAGATTACTGGTGACAGTGATAGTGTTAACTGCCTGGATTGATGCCACAGGTGGGATAGAGTTCCTGCTTTAGGCGCAGGCTGAGGTTTGTTTGGTTTGTTTTTTTCCCCACTGATCTAAACCAATTTTGTGATCTTGGTCTTAGCATTGCATGCAAGTAATTCTCTCTTCTTCATCAGGTAAATTTGAACCACCGTTATTCCATCCAAACGTGTACCCTTCAGGCACAGTGTGTCTCTCCATCTTAGAGGAGGATAAGGACTGGAGGCCAGCAATCACAATTAAACAGGTCATTAATTGTACTTAGACATATTCTTAGCCCTTCTATTGCTTTGTTTGCTTACCATACGTGAATGTAAGATGTCCCCTGTGTCTTTCTACAGATGGTTTCTAAGGGTTTTTCTAATTGAATGTCTCTTAGTAATATCCATGCCTATGTTAGTCCTATTCCTTCTTCCACAGATCTTGTTAGGAATACAAGAACTTCTAAATGAACCAAATATTCAAGACCCAGCTCAAGCAGAGGCTTACACAATTTACTGGTAAGTATCTTTGTGTATCAGCTTGAAAGCTGTCATATTGCCTCCAGCTGTCTTGTTACTTACAGTATAACATACAAATGGTTTTAGGATTGGTCAGGGGAATTTTCTAATCTTTGTGGCTGTCACCTGTGGAGATGCCTAGCTTGTGCTAAACTTGAACAAAACAGTAACTTCATGGTTCGTAGGCTAGCAGAGCTTTTAATAGCATCACAACAGCAGTAAAGTGCGAGGACTCCTTCAGTTAGACAGCGATTCTCACCCTGGTTCTAGCCCAACATGGAATCCTTTCCCCTGAAGGATGAGTAGTAGCGAGGAGGCGTAATGATGTCATGAGTAGTGGAGACTGAATTGGGTGACAAGTCTCATTCATCAGTATTAGGAGTAACTTACTTCTGTCCAGTAATGGGCACCTATAAGCACTTGGGCCTGAAGGACAAAAGAGAGTTTCTGTGCTTGCCGTGGAAAATACACAGCATTTTCTGAAAACTAGATCTTCCAAAAGAGTAGGTTAAAAAGCACAGAAAACCTGTAGCTTCAGCAGCATGAAGTTTGCTGCTGAAGTTAGGAAAGGTGGCAATTTGTGAGCTAAAAAGTACTTTTTTTTCTTAGGCCTAATCTTAACATTTTCTCACCATTAAAGATGGATGGCTGATCTGTAATCCTTAGGGGAGCAAAACACTTTAAACAAATGCTTTTGGCACTGACAGCTGCTGAAATAGTGGCAGAGATGGAAATGTGGAACTACCATTCTGGACAGCAGAACAAGTCTCCAGGAGAGTGCCAAGTTTGAAAAATGGCGTTTTATGAGACTTGGCATGCAAGCTGTGTCAGAAATGTCTGTTACAGGATCCTAGTGAAAGGGAAATGTAGGGGCAGGTAGTGCCTCTTGGATTTAATTAAAGGCTTCACTCAATGTTATTTTTTAAGTGTCTGCTGAAGACTTGATGGGACTGAGTGCATGTGGAGGAGAGTTAGGTGGCCACAGCTGAAGGCAGCACCTTTGGGAGCCAGTACTGCTGAGGCATGCCTCCTCCCCTTCTTTTTTTTTTCTTTTCAAAGCCACTCTGAGGGCAGGAGTAATACACTGTCATAAATATATAAAGTAGTCCATGTGGTTTATTTTTTTTATTCACTTCCCACATGCATGGATGTAGAAAACCAGTCTTTGCTAGTTTTGTTTCTGCTTTGTTGTAAGCACATCTAGAAAAAAAAAATCTGTTGAGAATAAACCATTACACGTGGTTTTTGTCTCTTCAAATATAGTCTCCCATTTATTCTCTTCATGTCTTTTGGACAAGTGTAGTGTTTCAGATGGGTTACTGTATTTCTGTACTCCGAAAAAAATTACACTAAAGTTTGTAAATTTGTTTATGAGAAGAACCTAGAGTATTTTCAGTCTGTTTGCTGGTAATTGTTCATTGGATGTGACCAGAATTGGCTTCATTTCTCCCTCTCCCCAAACTGTGAACTTCAGAGGATATAATTTGCTGCCTTTTTTTTTTCCCTGCAGCAAGCCTTCATAGCTGAAAGTTCAGTTTACTGCAAAGCTGTGCAAAATCTAGTCACTGTAAACTACCTTTGGCACAAGAGCAATGGTACATTTTTGTTTAGCTCTTGACTGACACTTCTGCCAGCTAATCCAGAATATGGTGTTGAATGGACACTCTACCAAGCTGCTGCCATCCCTTGTTGGCCCGAGAATGGGAAACAAAGAACTTGCCCTTTTATGTGTTGAGTCTGAGGCTTAATGACTGGCCTTGAAGTAGTACTTGCTTGTTTGATCAGTCTGTAGCAAGAATGCTAAACTTGGTGAACTACAGTGGTTTTTCAAGATGTTGAGCTAAGTTGGGTTTTTTTGTTTGGTTTGGGTGGGGTTTTTTTTCCTAGCTGAAGGTGAGGATGAAGCTAACCTAGTGAGTCAGGGTCTGCGGAGATAAAGGCTGGCATTATCACACAGTTATCTTTCTCCCCATTTCTGAAAGAGTGCTTCCCCTCCCTCCCCAAAGCAGTAATGATCATATTTTAAAGTCACATGAAGTCCACTGACTGTTAGTGAACTGCTCTCATCATCTGCTTTGTGCTGTTAGGATGCTGGAATTTATTGTTGATGACCTCAGGTCTCTGCATGGGGAGTGGGAAACTAAGGTTCAGATGAGTAAGAATGCTTGCACATAAGGTACGGCTGGCCTTGAGAAACTGCAGGCGCAAACCTGTTTATAGAGACTGGTGTGGTATGAAGCTGGATAGTGCAATCATTTGGCAACAGATGAAGTTTGGGGAGTAACTGTTGTTAAACAGGAGCTCACTTCCCTCCAAAGGAAATCATCAGAGTAATGGTCCAGAAAAGCCTTTAATATATCGGAGTGTTCAGTGAATTCCTATCTAATGGTTTTGCCTTTGGCAATGACTTAGTTTCACATTGAAGAGAAACAGAAGAACAAACTCTGTAATGTGGCCTCTGACTTGTCAAGCTGTAACTACCCTTTCTCTCTCTTCTATTCAGCCAAAACAGAGTGGAATATGAAAAGAGGGTTCGAGCACAAGCCAAGAAGTTTGCACCATCATAAGCATCTGTCATGCAGCATCTTATAAAGGAAGGGATTGGCTCAGCAAGAACTTGTTTACAAAACTTTTGCAAAATCTAATGTTGCTCTGTACAATTAATATCCACTTCGGGGAGGGGGTTGTATGTGTGCCATTTTCCATATTCGCCACTTGTATACAGTTCTAAATTTGCTGAATTGCCCCCAGTTTTTTCATACAGGGTCTCTTCCTTCAGTCTTTTGTATTTTTGATTGTTTATGTAAAACTTGCTTTTATTTTAATATTGATGTCAGTATTTCAACTGCTGTAAAATTATAAACTTTTATACTTCTATGAATACACTAGTATCTCTAGTTACTTTGCTATCTGATGCAGGCATGCTTTAAAATGTTAGAACTATATTTAGCCTCTAGCTGGCTGTATGAAAAAAAAAAAATCATGCCCTCCACCCCCTTCCCTCCCTGAGTTTGTTTTTCTATCTTTCAGAAACTAGGTTGTTATTGCTTAAGAGCCTCTGAGATCCAAAGTCAGCCAGCATCCTTATTCTGCATCACTTCCTTTGTGTTTATATGGCGTTCTGTCTGTGTTGCTGTTTAGAGTAAATAAACTGTTTATATAAAGGGCTTCGTTTCATTTATCTTCATTAAAGTTATTAAAAGACTGCCACTTAAATGGCTCTGAACACAGTTCAGCGCAAGTCCTGTTTGTAAGGCCTGGGATGCTGCACTTCCCTCTTGGCTGGATGTTGCCTTCATTTCTTTCCCCTGCCCCCGCCCCCAACATGACCGTGGCGTTTCTCTGGGCCCCAAGTGGCCCTTGCAGCTTTGATCGGTTCTTGCCAACAGCTTATGGAATTCTGGCTTGCTGGAGACCAACTCCTTACTGCGTGCGCTGGGGCAGACATACTGGTACAGCCACCTCAACATAAGTAACGCAAGCATTAGACTGACAGGATCAATAATAGAAGCTGTCCGAGGAGTGCACGGAGACCGACAGCAACTGGGGATTCTAAATGGTACTTGTCTGTCGGAAATGTGTCTGTGCCTTCGTCCGTATGTCCATGTACGTAGCTTGGAGGAAAAGGACGTGCTCTATGCAATTACAGTTCCCTTCTGTAAAGGAAATCAGTTAAATTATGTAAGTTATTTTCATGTATGTCAAACTGATATGCCCTCTATTAAACTTTCACTGCTTTTTTAATTGTATTTTTTTAGTCAAAATCATTCTGCAAAACAAGGGTGAAAGCTTTGTAGCTTCTTCAGTGCTCTTGTTATTAAAAAAGTTACTGCTAGAGCCTTCGGTTACTCTGCGTGTGGCACAGCTCTGTTCTCAGGCCCGTTCTGCCTGGGCATCTGACTGCGATAGCTTTGGAACATAAAAGTGTTCTCCCAGGTTAGAACAGCTGAACCCTCCTGTTAGTCTCAGTCCTTTAAAAGCTGTGTAGGGTTGCTACCCTGTCACTAGCAATCCTTGTTACAAGGGCTGATCTGGGAAAGCCTTCAGATGCCTGGGGTGGAGGAACCAAGTTGGAGGAAAAGATCCCCCATCAAATTCATTCACTGGGGCTTCTTTTTTCTTTTCCAAGGGAAATTGAACGTTTGTACCACTAGAACTGCTGCTGTGACTCCCCGTCCCAGCTCCAGCAGGGCTGGCGTTCCATCTCTCCAGGAGAAGAGGTGAAAACCTTGCTGTGACTTGAAGAACTTGTGTCTGTAAAGGTAATGCTATGAATTGTCCTCAGTATTTCCAGTTCTAGGAAGGGGTTGCTGAAGTTCAGGTTTAAGTAAGCTCCAGTTGGGCACT